GGCGCGGGCGGCACGTGGTGGCGCCGCTGGCAGCCCCGCGTGTGGGCGCTCTTCGAGGACCCCTACTCGTCGCGGGCGGCCAGGGTGAGCAAGATCTTGGGGTCCCCTCCTCCGGGCTCTGTGGGACTTCCAGTCCCTTTGGGGTTCCCCTCCCCAAACTGATCTCCCGGAACTCATCCCTCTGACCTCCACTACCCATCCCCTCTCCCCGGTCCTCCTCTGGAGAGGTCTCCCCAACCCACCTTCCAAACCCCATCCGCCCGCTCCAGGGCGCCCCAGACCTCTGGAAACTTCCCGAGGCTCCCAAGCTTCTCCAGAAAACCCTCTCTCGCCTTAGAATATATCTCCCACCCCTCCGTTTTTAGAGCTCTGAGCCCATCCACACTGCTCCCCGGTCCCAGACGCTCTAGGTCCCATATTCAAACTCATTTTTCTCAGCTTTTCTCAGTGCCCCCCCTCCTTTTTCCCTGGGCCCAGACTCCCACCAGACCTATCTCTCCGAGTTTGGCTGGTTTTGATCCCTTCTTCTGCTCTGGAAAGTCCCAGAAGACCTTCCCTGATTCCTGCCTTCGGCCTCTGTGAACCCCAAAGCCAGTTTCTCTAGCCAGGACACTTCTCCTCCCCCCCCCCAGAGTCTTGGGACACCTTCCCTCCTGGAAGTTCCCTCCCGCCCCCTCTTGTGTCCATGCCCCCCACAAGCCCTTCACATTCCTCATGTTTCCAGAACAGTAGTACACCCTCATCCCGATTCTTTCCTCCAGAACCCAGTTTGTCCTGCAGAGGTCCTCACCCAGGGGAAGCTCCCTCCTGCCATCCATTCTAATGCACACCCCACCATACTCTGGAGGCTACCCCTGCCCCCCAACTTCTACAACTCCAGGTCTCTTTTCCAAGTCTGTCAAGTGACTCTCTGTCCTCCTCCCAAACTTTGTCACCTGAAGCCTTGGGACCACCCCTCCCCCCTCCCCGTCCAAGTCATCAGCTCAAAAACGTCTTAAAATAGCGTCAATCCTTTTGCCCTCTCAGAGTATCTTTCCACCTACCCCCTGTCTCTCCCCCTCCCCTCCTCAAGCTTCCCCTTCCCAAAGCCAGGGGGAAAGAGTCCACCTCCAGGTCCAAACCCTTCAAGAGTCCATGTTCTCCACCTCGCCTCCCCAGAAAGTGTCTCCATTTCCCTGTAAAAGTTCCCGAGGCTTCGGAAACTTTACCCCCCCCTTCTCCCCCAAACCTTTCTCCCCCTAACTTCTTTCTTGTCACTTAGTCCCCAGTGTGAGGGTGAGTAGGAAAAGGCGGGGAGAAGACTGGAAGGGGGAGGACAAGCGTGATCTTGAGGGTCCCCTTGTAGTCTCCCGGAGGCCCAAACACCCCAAGGAGCTTGGCTGGGCCCCCTTCCCCCCCCCCTCACCGTGCCACGTCCTGGGCCGGGAAGGACGCGGAGCCGCAGTGCTGCGTCCGCGCCAGGGGAGGGAGCGAGGGGGGGCCGGGGCACTGCGTGAAGTGAGGTCCCTGGGAAGAGCTGAGTTAGCGAGATTTTGGGGTGAGTGGGGGGAGGTGGGGAGGAAGAGGTGCGGAAGGGACGTGGCCCTAGATGCCCTCTCAGGCTCAGAGCAGCCTTCCCCCCACCCTCCCACGCCTGGGGCGCCCCTCCCTGCATTGACCCCATTGCGGGCTGCTGAGTGGGGGGAGGGGGGAGATGAAGTCCTTATGTGTGGGTCAGGCTGGGGGTCCAGGACCGCTAAGGGGGGCCTTCAGGTAATTCACAGTAGGCGTTTTCATTTCTCGAGTGTGCCAAGCACTCGCCTCCCGTGAGGTGGTTAAGAGCTGGGAGTCCCGGGCAGCCCCCCGCCCCTCTCCCCTTACTCTTGATCTCCCACCCTTCTGGCCGGGAAGAGGAAAGGAGGGGG